CATACATGGATACATACACACATACATACATATATGCAAATATACTGATATGCATCCATCCATCCAGATATGCATACAGATATGGATCCATGCATACATTGGACGAGCGTGCAGACGGGACAGTCTTCTGACGGAGAGTTTTGGAACATAAACAAGACTTGTATTTTGAATTTAAACCTCAGTTTAATTTTTTCAGTAATATATAGGTCTAGGTGACAGGGTTTAGAGTGAAGGAGTGTCCACGAAGAGGTTGGTTACATCACTTCTCATAAACAACAACAACAATAATAATAATGAATATAAGATAAAACAGTAATGAATAAAAAATTATAAAATAATAATAATGAATAAAAATAAAAAAGTAATAATAATGAACAAAAAATAATGGTAATTTTCTATATTACGTCCGCATGACCGATATCGACGATTTTGGTATCGTTGGATTCCTCTCACTCTATACAATGCAAATAGATAGGTTTTATTGCGCGCTAACCCCCCGTTAGCGACAAACTTGGTCCCGATTGCGGGGGCGACGATGTGAAAAACCTCACAGTGAAAATAATCATAGTTATTCACATGACTTTCCATTGCAGGGGGCTGCGCCCCCTGCGACCCACCCTTGGGGGGGGGCTGCCGCCCCCCAACCCCCGCCGAGGAAACAAAACCTCCACCACGTATTCACGGCAGGATAGAGCGCACACGAACTAGATGCGGAGCCGATAACCTACAATAACTTAAGATTTTTAAGGTACTAACCTGATTTATTAATGCCGCTAATTACTAGGGAGGGTGCTCCTTTGCCGCAAAATGTGAAGGAGGCAGGGTGCGTCCAGCAGGAGGTCCTAGGCCGGAGGATACAGCGACGCTGCAGCACACAGGAAGTGATGCAACCTCACATTCAGGTGCTGGCTGCCCGCACCTGCCGCAATCTTTCTCACGACGGAAGAGGCCGTGGCGGAAGCACATATCTAGCATTTTTTCTTGGCTAATGGCAATCTCGCGCAGAAAATCCGTCTCGGAGTACGAGCACCCTCCACACTCGGCCATCGTGGCGACTATGACTGACTTCTGAACGCGACGGTTATTTCGGTTAGGAATACGAATGTCGTTATTCCAGAGGAAGGGAAACTCGACTTTGAGGCCATCGGTGTAACATCGAAAAAGGCGCAAAACCCGCTGACGAGGGCGGGCCACCGTGTTTATCCTGATTATACTACAATCGTCTCTATATACAATGCTGACTATAATAAGGTTAATATGCTGATTCAGTGAGAATCTTACGAGGTAATACGCCCCCTGCTCCGACATCGACGATGATTGTGTAACGCTCTATCCTGCCGTGAATACGTGGTGGAGGTTTTGTTTCCTCGGCGGGGGTTGGGGGGCGGCAGCCCCCCCCCAGGGGGGGTCGCAGGGGGCGCAGCCCCCTGCAATGGAAAGTTATGTGTATAACCATGGCTATTATGGAAAGTTATGTGAATAACCATGGTTATTTTCACTGTGCGTTATATTATTAGTGCTATTTAACCCGCATTTTCCCTGGAACCTTCCATGCCCTCCCCTGCTATCGGGGCCAAGTTTGTCGCTAACGGGGGGTTAGCGCGCAATAAAAACTATATATTTGCAATGTGGAGAGTGAGAGGAATCCAAGGATACCAAAATCGTCGATATCGGTCATGCGGACGTAATATAGAAAATTACCAAAATAATAAAATGATAATAATGAATAAAATATAAATAATAAATAAAAACAAAACATAAAAAAGAAATCCTGACCTATTGACCCACCTTCAGAGGGAGTCTGTTTCCTGAACCAAAATAATTTTTTTCTACTTGGTCTTATCTAAAGCATACTGTATTTCATACACCAACACAAGCAACGTATCATTGCAGCCAGGTCCCTTTCTGAGTCTCTGGAAGAAACGGTCTCAAATATACAGAAAGATGACTGACCAGCAAATGTTCAAACCCTTAGATAAAATTGGTATAATTGAAATGGGCCAACAGTCGGTAGGTGGAGACTGTAGTGGACCCTTGGGAATAGGGGTGACATTACCAAAGCGCCAACACTGAAAATGACCCTTGACGAGCTAAAAGGCGTAAGATTACAGCTAATTTAGGAGCTAATTGACCATTTAGTCTTTAAGATCATAAGAAGCAATCCATTAGTGAATACTCCACCATATATATATATATATATATATATATATATATATATATATATATATATATATATATATATTTACTTATTTATTTATAATTCTGAAAACAGATACTTGATTTCAGAGGACCTGAAAGCAAATGAATTAAAGCATGGTAATGGTTGACATGAAGGAGGAACTTCAATATCTTCTCAACTGTTTTGAATTAAATCATTCTCCTAACAAGGTAGTTATCTCAATCGTACTATATGTAACACTTCATTAAAGGCTTCATTAAATGAGGAATGAAGGACTCAAAACCGAACAGAGATACTTTAAGTGTTGACCACCATTTGTGA